GAGAGAAGGACGAGTTTGCGAAGGAGTTGAGTCAGGCTTGAAACTTGTTCTTCGCATTCACGAGGTCAGTATCGCATGTTTGAGCTAGGTGAGCTTCGCTATCGCGAGGTTACTTCTGCGATCGCGTTGAAGGATTTGAGCAGGGGCAGATTACTGCTTCGAGAATGCAAGGCAGTGGCCGCGTTCACGAAGGTACTTCTGGGCAGACCTTATAAGTGTTATATTTCGGTATTTTAGCCTATTCTTTCATATTTTGAGCCTTAGATTTCAATATAAGGAGATTTTGAAGAGGAATCTCACTACTTACATGGGAGGTAAGTAATTTTTACTTGGATTTGATTTTAGATATTGATTCCTCATGGATTTCTACACTTAAAACTTGAAATTTCGAAGAGACATTTGGGGGTTTTGTCTACAATTTTAAAGAGTGTAAATTGGGGATTTGCGAGTTGATTTAGACTCGATTTTGAAATCTAATCACATATTTGGACTTGTGTGGCATGGGTAGTCGGGATCTATCCCTTGACTCGATCTTTTACCATGTGTGTCCAAGTTAATTTTTGTTGACTTTTGGAAAATTTATTAAAGATTGAAGCTTTATTGTTTGAAATTGATTCATATGATTCTGTTTGATGTTATTGAGTTGTTTTTGGCTAGATTCGAGTCGTTTGGGGTTGGATTTGAAAGGAAACACGGTTTATTATTGATTAAAGCTTGCCGGGTGGAGGTAAGTCTCTTGTCTATCCTTGTAAAGGGGAATCCTCCCCATAGGTGATCTATTTTCTACTTGATGCTTGATTTAGAAACCATGTATATGCGAGATGACGAGCGTATATGTATAGCTAGGTTATGGCCATATTCCGCTGAATATTTGGCTTATGATTATGCATTGTTTGGACTATGTGAACTCCTTATTCATGTTTTATTGATTCTATGAGTATGTGATGACTTGTAATTATGGCTTAGAAGCAGGCTTAAGGTCACAAATTGTTGAAGTAGGCACAAATAATTTCTTTTCCATATTGAGCTTCTTTGTCGAGCCGTAGTCATATGCTCGTCTTATTGATTCATAATGTAGTGACTAAATAACTTATTTCATTCGTGATAAATATTATGATAAGACTTTTGAATGGTGAAATTGCTTATTGAATTGTTGAGATGAATTGAATTATATGATTAACCATAGCCATCTTTTAGTCTTATATATTTTTATCTGCATTTCTATTGTTATGATTCAGTGCCTTTAATTATATTGTCTCATACATATATCTATAAGTTTGAGAGTTGAATATTATAAAAAGATGAGAATTCTGGCACCATAGATATTATGAGCGGATATTGATCACCAATGATGTTGTGTGGATCGGGTTGCAACCTGCAACAGTATTATGTGTAGATCGGGTGGCACGCCGCCACGTGTATATGTACGAATCGAATGGCATGTTGCTACTAGAATATTTGTGGATCGAGTTGCACACCTCAGTATTGTTGTTGTTGTTGTTGTTGTTATTATTATTATTATTATTATTATTATTATTATTATTATTATTATTATTATTATTATTATTATTATTATTATTATTATTATCATTATTATTATTTGTGGATCGGGTTGCACGCCGCAACAACACTTGGATATGGTATTGTTCCTCCGGAGTCACGTGAGTACATGTATTACTTTGGGCCCTATGAGCACAGACACTGAGATTGGTGCCAGTTAGGACACTTGACCTTTGTTAGATGTGTGTGTGTATGTATTTATGTATGTATGTATGTATGTATGTATGTATGTATATTGTGAGCATGCACTGGCACCCTCGACTAGTGCAATGACTCTTACAAAATATGAAAAGAACTTTTATATAGATATAACTGATATTGTGCTAGACCCCTTGTTTGAGCATGACTTGGTAGCTTAGACTCAAGAAGTGGCTCTTATATTATGTGTGAATGTTGATTTACTTTTATCATGATATGAAAATAACTGAGACAATTGATATTAAATTCTATCTCCTTATTTGAAAAGCATGTCTAATTCTAAGTTTTTACTGAGTTCTATTGGCAGACATGTTCGATGATATTATGACCTATTCCATGTTTTTATGCTTCATATGCTTATTAAGCTGATAGTGGTGTCGATGTCGCCCTCTCGCTACTACTTCTTTGAGGATAGACTTGATACTTATTGAGTACCGTGGTTTTTTACTCATAATACACCTCTGCATACTTTGTGCAGGTTTTGAGACTGGTATTTGCGGTACCCATTGAGCTAAGTAGAGGTGTGTTATTGGAGACTTCATGATGAGCTACTATACTTGATCCAGTACGCAACACATGAAGTCCCCCTTCCATACTTATTCATTTTTGTCTATGTATTTCTTTTCCAAAAAATGTTATTGTGCAGTTAAAACTTGTTACTCTTACTTGTCTAGCAAGCGGTTTAGGCACCATCACAGCCTTTGGCGAGATTTTGGGTCGTGACAGTCTTGGTGGACATTCTTTTTGCACAAGACGCTAGATGCGAGCCTCCACTTCATCCACCCCGCTCCAATATGATATGTGACATCCTCATCAATCTCCCTAATGTTAACACCGCCTCACATCTCGTCAATCAGTACTATGTCATCTACAAATAACATGCACCAAAGTACCTCCCTTTGAATGTGTCGCGTCAACTCATCTATCACCAAGGCAAATAGGAACTGGCTAAGCGCTGATCCCTGATGCAATCTCATCTCTAATGGGAAGTGTCACGAGTCCCCTCCCATGGTTATTACCTGGGTCTTGGCACCATTGTACACGTCCTTAATCACCTTAGTATATGTGACAGATACCCCTGTAGCCTCCAAGCATCTCTAAAGAACCTTTCTTGGGACTTTGTCATATGGCTTTTCTAGATCGATGAACATCATATGTAAATCCTTCATCCTCTCCCTATATTGTTCCACGAATCTCCTAACAAGATGAATAGCTTTTGTAGTCGAACGCTCTGGCATGAATTCGAGATGGTTCTCAAAAATAGACACATCCCTCCTTATCCTCATCTCCACCACCCTCTCCTAGACTTTCATAGTGTGGCTTAGTAGCTTAATACCCCTAGAGTTGTTGCAATTTTGAAAATCACCCTTATTTTTGTACAGTGAAATCATTATACTCTATCTCCACTCCTCGGGCATTCTTGTCATCCTAAAAATGACATTAAACAACCTCGTAAGCCGCTCCAAACCTGCCCTTCCCACATTCTTCCAAAATTTTACCAAAGTCTCATCTGGCCCGATTGCTCTACACCTGCTCATTATGCACATAGCCCCCTCAACCTTCTCCACTTATACATGCCTACAATAAACATAATCACGATGACTCTCTGAGTGTTCCAAATCATCTAGTACAATGTTCGTATCCCTCTCTTCATTCAAGAGTCTATGGAAGTATGTCTGACATCTACGTCTAATGTGTGCCTCTTCTACCAATACTTTCCCATCTTTGTCTTTAATGAACTTTACTTGATCTAGGTCAGGGGACTTCCTTTCTCTTGCCTTAGCTAGCACGTACAACTTCTTATCCAAGCCTTTGACCTTAAGTTCCTCATATAAGCGTTCAAATTCTACCATCTAAGCCATAGTAACTGCTAACTTAGCCTCTTTCTTCACCGCCTTATACCTCTCCCTAAGCATCCTCTTATCCTCCTCGTCTATGCTCTCCACTAACTTTGTATAAGAAACCATCCTGGCTTTCAGTTTCTGTTGGACCTCTTCGTTCCACCACCTATCCACTCGACGCCCACCAACATAACCCCTTGAAACCCCCAGCACCTCTCTAGCGGCTTTCCTAATAACTCTAGCTATTATATCCCACATGCTTCTTGTGTCCCCGCTACTCCTCTAAGCCCCCATTGCCAACAATTTCTCCCTCATCTCTTGATCTCTTTCTATAGTCATGCCACCCTATTTGATCCTTGCATGTCACACAATGCCCTCTTCTTCCTCTCTCTCTCTCTCTCTTAATATCTAAATCCATTGCCAAGAGCTTATGTTGGATTGCACTAGGACTAATAAACCTCTTATTAAGAAGCTCATGGAGCTGCTCTTTCAATTCCTTCAACTCAGTTGGTTCCATACGATACAGAGGAATAGAAATGGGCTGAGCGACCGGCACCAAATTAATACAAAAGTCAATATTCTTGTCGGGCGGCATGCCCGGTAAGTCTACAGGAAACACATCCGAAAATTCTCGCACCACCGGAACATAATCAATAGTAGGAGTATCAGCACCAACATCCCTCACAAATGCCAAATAAGACAGACACCCCTTCCCAACCATTCGTTGGGCCTTCAAATAAGAAATCACCATGTTGGGAACATAATTTAGAGAACCTCTCCACTCGATCCTTGGCAACCCCGGCATCGCCAATGTCATGGTCTTAGCGTGACAATCCAGAATAGCAGACATGGAGACAACCAATCCATACCCAAGATCACGTCGAAATCGACCATACTAAGCAATAAGAGATCAACTCTGGTCTCTGATCCCCCAATAGTCACCACATACGACCGATATACACGGTCCACAATAATAGTATCGCCCACTAGCGTAGAGACATGAATAGATGAAACTAAAAATGCATGGATCATATCCAGTTAACGAGCAAAATATGATGATTTATACGAATAAGTGGAACCAGGGTCAAATAATATAGAAGCATCACTGTGGCATACTGAGACAATACTTGTGATCATTGTGTCTGAAGCAACAATATATGGTCTTGCAGGAATAGCATAGAATCGGGCCTGACCACCACCTGATCGGCCTCCCCCTCTATGGAGACCTCTAACTGTCTGGGTCCCACCCCGAGCTGGCTGGGCGGGTGGTGAAGTAATTGGTGCTGAAGTTATGGCCTGACTCCTCTGCTGCACTGGACCTCCCGGGCGGCGAGGACACTACCTCCACATATTCCCAAACTCCTCGCACTCAAAGCAACTCCTCGGAAGTGGTGGTGGGGACTAAATCGGGCCCTGAGTACCAGAGTAACTGCCCGAAGGACCTGGCACAGATGAACCCTGAACCAATGGAGCACGGGATGAACTCTGAGCTGGGAGAGCACTAAGAGATGACTGACCTGGACGAGCACTGTATGAACCGTGGCTGGATGATGCACCACGATGAAATGGACAAGCCATCTGTCACCCTCTCCTCACGCTCCTGACTACAGACCATCTCTAGCCCCAAGCAATATCACCCACCTCATCGAACCGAGCACCAGATACACTCTCCCAAGTCATAAGAAAACACAACTGATAGTTGAGGCCATCAATGAACCTCCTAATACTCTCCCTCTTAGTGGGAACCAACTAAACTGCGTGAAGAGACAACTCTGAAAATCTCATCTCATACTGGGTCACAGACAGGCCATCCTGACGTAGCTGCTCGAACTACCTGCGCAGCTCCTCCCTGCGGGTCTGTGGCACAAATTTCTCTAAGAACAAGATGGAGAACTTATGCTATGAAAGTGGTACAACACCAATTGGTCTTCTCCTCTCATAGGCCTCCCACCATCCGAAGCCAGCCCTAGTAAAACTGAAAAGTAGTGAATGAGACCTCACTAGTCTCCAGAATACCCGCCGTATGAAGAATCTGCTGGCACCTATCCAAGAAGTCCTGGGCATCCCCTGACTCAGCCCCACTGAATGATGGAGGCTGGAGTTTCCCAAATCTCTCAAGTCTCTTCTGCTTATTATCACTCATAACGGGACCCACCTGGGCCTGAGCAACTGCTACCGGCTGGGCTGGTAGTACCCCTAGTGTCTGAAGTCCCTGTATCATCTGCTCTGGAGTATGGACGGCGGGAGTCTGAGTACCTCCCCCAGCCTGAGAAGTGGCTGGCGTGGTCTGAACAGAAACTGCTTGAGCAAGGCTAGTGCACACAGTCAATATCTAAGCCAAAGCCTCCTGAAGGCCTAGAATCACAATGGGCATAGATGGTGCCTGAGCTGGCCCCACTGGCTCAACCACATCTGGAACCTGCTCCTAAGCTAGAGCGACTAGTGGATCTGTAGGTTCTGCTCTAGCTGTTGTACGAGTTGCACCTATGCCCCTACCACGGCCCCTACTACGACCGTAGGCTCTCGTGGCCCTAGTAGGTGGTACTGGCGGTTGTTCGTCCGCTTCGGTAGCACGTGTTCTCACCATCTGTGAAAGAATAGAATAACCGAAGTTTAGTTCCCAGAATCAACACATTCGCATGACAAGAATACAAGAATGTGAAGTTTTCCTAAGGGTTCGACAACCTCTCGAAGATAAGTACAGACTTCTCTGTACCAATATGCAAGACTCTACTAAACCTGCTCATGACTCGTGAGACCTATGTAACCTAGGCTCTGATACAAACTTGTCATGACCCAAAACTCAACCTGTCGTGATGGCGCCTATCATGGTACTAGTCAAGCCGACTACTCAGACAATTCCAACACTTTAAAATTTAAGATATGCTAAAACGGGTTTAAATAAATAAAAATCTCATAAAACAGATAAAACTGTCGCAACGCGATACATAAGTTCCCAAAACTAGGGTGTCATCGAGTACATGAACAAGTCTAAAATACTGTCTAAGAAAACCTGAAACTGAATAAATAAGACTGAGGGATAGGGGAAGAGAGTCAAGGTCTGCGGACGCCAGAGCAGCTACCTCAAAAATTTCCGAATGACTGAACAACTCTGAGAATCTGCACCCACCATGTCCGGAAACACCTGGATCTACACACGAAGTGCATGCTGTAGCATGAGTACAACCAACTCAGTAAGTAACAAGTCTAAATATTGGGCTAAAAGTAGTGACGAGATTCACAGGTACAGTTCAATTACACGATTACAGTATAGAAATGTAGGCATGCTTTCAAGTTTAACAATTAAAGCCCAAACAGGTAAATCATGTCAAGTTCAATTGAAATAAGATTTGGTGCATCTCGGTATCTATATGACAGTTATATATGCCAACTGAAGTATAAAATACTAATGAAATCATATGCATACTCTTGGAGTATCAATCACTCGGTCCTCTCTTTCACTCCATCATCACAGTCACTTATTCCTTACAGTCACTCCATCATTTCAGTCACTCAATCCTCCAAATCGCTCGACGCTCGCACTCAATAGGTACTTGTGCTCACTATGGGTGTGCAGACTCCGGAGGGACAAATCCAACCCAAGCACTATAATAAACCAATCATGGCATGAATCAATAACACATATTGTGGCGTGCAGCCCGATCCCATAAATATCCTCACAATCAGGTCCTCGCCCTCACTCAGTCATCAATCTCTCCAGTTTTTAGGGCTCACAAGAATCATGATTATTAGCCCTAACAATGATGATATAATATATAAATAGATGGCAATAGAGGCTGAGATATGATATACAAATAATGGTTGTGACTGAGTGCATGATTTCAAATTAAGCAAATAATTCAACATGTAATGCGACTTCTGTGGGTCCCAACAGTACCAACATGTAGCCTAGTCATGATTTCTAACATGACTTGCAGCTCATTTTCTCTAACACATGGAGAATATACGGATAATAACAAGATTATGCATATTTACATTTCCACAGAATCGACCAAGTCAAAATTCCTACGGTGCACGCCCACACACCCGTCACCTAGCATGTGCGTCACCTCATCACCAATCACATATTACGTAATTCGGGGTTTCATACCTTTCGAACCAAGTTTAGAAGTGTTACTTACCTCAAACCGAGCAAATCTCTACTCCCACAAGACCTTGCCTCGTGAATCGGCCTCCGAGTACCTCGAATCTAGCCACAAACAATTCGATACAATCAACTCAAGCTATATGAACCAATTCCATATGAAAATGTTAAGTTCTATATCAAAATTCAAAAAGTCAACCCCCAGGCCCATGTCTCGGAATCCAATGAAAGTTACAAAATCAGAACACTCATTCAACCACGAGTCCAACCATACCAAAATTAATCAAATCCGATACCAAAATCTCACTCAAATCCCAAATATTCGGCCTAAGAAGTGTTCTCCATTTCCCCCCAATTTTTCCACCCAAATCACTAATTAAATGATGAAATTAAAGTTATAATCATGGAATTTAACCAAAACTAAGTAAGAATCACTTACCCCAATCGCTCCCTTAAAATCTCTCCAAGAATCCCCTCCAACCGAGCTCCCAAAATGAAATTTCTGTTATGAACTCAAACCCTCGTTTTGAAATATTTAAGTCTGCCTAGATATACCTTCTTCGCGATTGCGAAGCACAAATCCTAAGCTGCCAAACTCACCCCAATGCGAACGCGAACAAGTCCACGTGATCGTGATGCACTACCTCTCCAGACCTACGCGATTGCATAAACACCCACGCATTCGCATAGAGCAACGCGTGTGACCAGCTCCTGCCTCCTTTCCTCTTCGCGAACGCGGATCTGCCCACGCGTTCGCGATTCATGGACTACTCCAGCTACGCGATTGCGTACTCCTGCTCGCGAACGCATAGAGAAAAATTCCATAAGTAACGAACACCCATTCGCGATCGCGGACCTAACCACGCGATCGCATAGAAGGAAACCAGACACTCCATACCTTCAGGCTTCAGCAGTCTCCCAAGTCCAAATTTCACTCTGTTAACCATCCGAAATCCACCCGAGGCCCCCGGGACCTCAACCAAACATACCAATAAGTCCTAAAACCCGATACAAACTTAGTCGATCCCTCAAATCACATCAAACAAAATAAAAAACAAGAATCACACCCCAATTCAAGCCTAATGAAAACGAAGGAATTCCAACTTCTACAATCGATGTTGTAACCTATCAAATCACATACGATTGACTTCAAATTTTGCATACAAGTCATAAATGATACAACAGACCTACTCTAACTCCCAGAACCAAAATCCAAGCCCGGTAACCATAAGTCAACTCTCGATCAAACTTTTCAATTTCTAAAACTCCTAATTTTTCAACTTTCGCCATTTCAAGCCTAAATCAACTACGGACCTCCAAATCACTATTTGGATACACTCCTAAGTCTAAAATCATCCAACGGAGCTATCGGAACCATAAAAACTCCATTCTGAAGCCATTTACACATAAGTCAATATCCAGTCATTCTTTTAAACTTAAGCTTCCAACCTTGAGACTAAGTGTCTCAACTCATTCGAAACATCCCCGAAAATGAACCAACTACCCTAGCAAGTCACGTAGAAACTAATAAGAATAAAATGAGAAGTAAATGGGGGAACGAGGCTACAACACTCAAAATGACCCCGGGTCGTTACATTGTAGTCCTTACAAAGAGTTCTATCACCCTTCATAAGGAGCAAGTAGTCAATCTGAGTCTTAGCCAATGTACTACATAAGGTCACCAAGTGCTCTTCTTTCTTCAAAAAACTCGAATTAGATACCACCAACTCAAAAGTCTCCGCAAAATCCAAAAGCAAAACTCCTCCTTCATTTCTTACCCTAAAACCAAAACCTTTATACACATCGTCATATCCCCCTGAAGTAGTCCGGATGTGGCAGTTGAAATTTCCTCCTATGAATAGCTTTTTAATGAGTGGTATATCTCTCGCAACCTCATCCAACTTTTTGACCTCCTTACTCAAGCCTGATTGAGGTGCGTAGGTACTAATAATATTCAAAGTAAACCTTCTAACGACTAGCTTAATCATAATCATCTTGTCATTCACCCTCCTAACCTCTACCATTTTCTCCCTGAGTTTCCTATCAACTAAAATACCTACGCCATTCTTATTCCTCGAACCTCCTGAGTACCACAATTTAAACCTGTCCATATCCTGTACGTTAGTCCCTACCCATTTTGTCTCTTGGACACATACTATATTAATTCTCCTCTTTTTGAGAATCTTCACCAACTCTATAGACTTCTCCTTCAATGTTCTTATGTTCCAAGACCCAACTCGCAACCTGGAGGCTCTCTTAACCCACTTGCCACTCTTCACCCTCGAGCCAGCCCTAACCGAGGACATGAACATAATCTACCATCATTCACCAAATCCACTACAATATGTTTTATCTAATTAGAGTTTACTAGAAAAATGGTAATAAAATACGTGGCGGTTCTAGGTTCACAAACCAACCGGCTCTATAAAAGTAAATAAAACTAAATACAAGAAACTATATTAAAATAAAGGCAGACAATCAAATAACAGACAAATATAATAAACCAACAGGCTCTAGAAAAGTAAGTAGAGCTAAATACAATAATCAATATTACAATAAAGATAGACAATCAAATAATATACAAAATATAAAGAAAGATAGAAAGATAGTAGAACTAACACAAGAATCAATATTAAAACAACGACATACAAACAAATGATAGACAAAATATAAAAAATCAAGAAAGATCGAAAGATAGAACCTATATATAGTCGGTAATGCCGAGCCACTGCTTCCACTCCTTGGGGAGGGGGGATTACATTAGAGAACCCCTTAACGACGGTCGCCAACAACAATAGAGGTCACCAAAAAGTTGATCGGAGTGACTGGATCACGTCAAAACTAGCTAGAACATGGTGGGTCATGTCAATTTTGAAGAGTTGATAAGTGTAGATTTTAACCACTTTTTAGTACCTTATTGCTATAGTTTTTAGACCGAAAGTACTATTTTTTTCTCCGAATCAAATGAAAATGGTTGAATTGTAGGTGTGCTGGAGAAAGTATGCTCAATGAAGAAAAATAACTTGAAAAGGAGATTTTCTAGCCAAGTTCAGCAAAAGAAGAAGTGTTAAGAGAAGTGTGGTTCACAGAATTCCAAATGCGTCGGCAAAAGCAAGTGCAGTCCCTGAGAAGATGGAATGCGGCCGTAGAAGAACAACTGAAGCTTCAGGGACTTTTGGCAGAAGTGCAGTCCGTAGATTAAAATATGCGGTCACACTTGGTCCGCAAAAGAGGTTCGCACCGACAAGCTTGAAAGATTAGAGAATGAGCAATCGAACAAGTCTAAAGCCTCCTCAAATATGGCTCACAGAAATTGAAGTGCGACCGCAAAAGCTGATGTGCTACCGCAGAACTCCTCCTACTAAAAGCACAACATTATCAATCCAGCTAAAACGCGGACAACAGAAGTTGAAGTTCGGCCGTAAACCCTCCAAAGGGCATTTTTGTCAGAGACTTCGGGAGCCCTATAAATAGGACTTTATGAATTTTTAGAGCATCTTTTCATTGTAAAAATATGTAGTTCATTGTTTTTATCCATTTGGAGCAATTTTGAGCTACAATTAGATAGGATCATTTACTCTTTCATTTTATTTTAGTTTTATGTCTTTTATTTCTCTTATTTCTTTTATTCATATTTTCATGTCTATTAATATGAGTAGCTAGATTTTTATTTAGGGTTGTGATCCAACCCTAGTGTATAAAACTAATGGGTTATTTATATTATGCTTGCTAATGATTAAGTTAGTTGCAATCATTGATTCATGTCTATTTGACTTTATTCTTTCTTAAGAAAGAGGAATTTAGTCTAGGAAAACTTGGCTAACAAGAAATTAAACTAGTTTAGTTATTGATTAGTTTAATTAACGAATTTGAACTAGAGATAGGGATAATCTAACTTGGACTCATATGCAATTTCACTTATAGCTATCCATTTTGATTTGAGGGAGCTAAATTGGGTATAATCACTCCTTAACTGAGAGGTATTGAGTGAGTACTTGAGTATTGAGAGTCATAGCAACCCTGATCTACCAAGCAAGCATAAATTTGCTTTATCCATTAGGTTTACACCTAGCTTAAGGTTACAACCCTAGGCTTTTCTCTATTTAATAAAACATCAAAAATATTTCAATTGTTACTCGTTTGCTAGCTTAGTCAAAATCCTTAATAGTTTAATTAGTAAAATTTTATATACACCTTTGTTTGAAAGTTACATTTAGTTATTTCAAGTTGATTTCTTAAGTTTTTACCTTAACCACCCAATCTAAACTCCTTGCAGTTCGACCCTGACTCACATTGGATTTTATTATTGTAATAATCATTTTATATTCTCTTAATTGGGGTGTGAATTGGACGTGATCAATATTTGGCGTCGTTGCCGGGGAGTTTACGGTGTTAACTATACACTTGAGTTTGTTTCTTGAGTATCTTCTTTTACTTTCATAATTCTAACTAGTTGAAGTAATTTTAGGTTTCAAATAGGGAACGATTTACTTGGAAATATACCATTGGGAGAGGTGGATGGCAAAGAGGAATGACAAGATGAAATGCCACAAGTTCCACAACAAAACTACCGAGGCCATGGGAAATAATACAATATGCCTCTACCTCCCCCACCGCCACAACCACAAGCAGCGCAACACCAAATTTTTCCAATGAAGGGTATGCAAGTACCATAGCCCCCCTCGCATTAGGGCGGGCAAATTTCAAATTACCAATGAGATGGTCACTTTGCTCGAGCAATGAGGTTATTTCACAGGGGCGCCAACTCAAAATGCTTACAAGCATTTGAAAGGTATTGTAGATATATGTTGGGTAAGCAAACAAATAAATATTTCGGAAGATGCATTGCGGCTAAGGCTTTTTCCTTCTCACTAAGGGGTAAGGCTTTGGATTGGTTGGAATGCTTGCCTAATCATTCTGTTCATACATGAGATAAATTGGCGACGAAGTGTTTTTAAAGTTTTTCTCTCTTGGGCATATGGCAACTCTACGAGATAAAATATTGGCTTTTAAGCAAGAGCCCAATGAACCTTTGCATGAGATTTGGGAGCAGTATCAGACTATGGTGAAGGATTGCCTGAACAATTATATGACCGACAACATGATCCAACAAACTTTCTACCATGGTATTAATACCACAAATTAATATGCGGTCAATCAATTGGCCGGAGTAAATTTCATGACAACACCTTATGCGGAGGCATGTGGGATTCTTGATGCGATGGCGGAAACCTCTTCGGCTTGGCAATCTTGAGCCAATTTTCCCCACGGTGATCCCAACACGATTCACCTTCATAAAGAATTGCAAGACCATGGACAAGCTATTGCGGAATTGACAACTACCATGACTCAACTTACTAAGGTTCAACTACATCAAACTCAAGCTACTAAGCAAGTTCATGTTATGGAGGGGGTGAGTGTTTTAGCCAACAAGAAGCGAAATAAAGGTACCTAATTTCAACCCCGGGTAGAGACTTATGCATAAGATGATGGTGGTTATGATCAAGATGACTCCTATAAAAATCAAAAAGAAGAGGTACAATTTGTGAACAATTACCAAGGGCAACAGAGAAATTTTCTAGGCTCCAATCAAAATCGGTGGCGATCTCAAAAAAACCAAGGCAATTGAGATTCTAACAATAAAGGAAATTTGCATAACAAAAACAACCAAGGAAATTGGGGAGGTAATAATCAAGGAAATTGGGGTAACAATAACAATCATACAAATCAGAGTTCGGGGTTCCACAGACCTCCAATGTACCAACAACCAAGCAACTCACCTCCCTATCCTTCCCACAGTTTAATTTCCTCAAGCAATGAAATGGGTCGTAATGGGAATATGTTCAAGCAAATGATGAAAAAGAATACGGATTCGGATGCCCAACTTGCCTCACATACCACATCAATTCAAAAATCTCTCAAGCTCTTAATAATTGTCCTAAGTGATACGGTAGTGAATCCAAAGGGTGGTAACAATACGGGGCATGTCATGGCGGTTATCACAAGAAATGGAAAATGTGGGAATGCACCCACATCAAATGAAAAACAACTTATAGATGATGAGAAAATATTCTAAGTAGAGGAATTCCTACAAAAATGATGTTCAAGTACATGATGACGTTTGGATTGATATTAATGATAGTGTAGAAGAGACCCGAGAGGAAATGAACTCATCTAGGGAACACATCATTGACATGTCGGATCCAATGGTGCAAAAGGCTAAGGCACACTTTTCAAAGCCTCAACCTCCTTACCCTCAAAGGCTCTCTAAGCAAAATGGTGAGAATCAATTCAAAAAGTTTATACAAATGATGAAAGGTCTCTCTATTAGTGTGCCATTGGTGGAAGCTTTGGAATAAATGCCCGGTTATGCCAAGTTTATGAAAGACCTTGTGACAAAGAAGAGGTCGATGGACTTTGAAACGATCAAGGTCACTCATCAAGTGAGTGAAATTGTTCATTCCATGTCTCCTAAGTTGGAGGATACCGGTTAATTCCTTGTACTATTAGAAGTGCCGATTTTGCTAAAGGTCTATGTGATCTTGGGGCGAGTATCAAATTGATGCCCTATTCGGTATTCAAAACTTTGGATATTGAGAAACCAAGACCCACATCTATGAAATTGCAAATGGCCGATCACACAATGAAAAGATTGATGGGTGTGATTAAGGATGTATTGGTCCGAGTTGATAAATTTATTCTATCAACGAACTTTGTGATTCAAGATTGTGAGGTTGATTATGAAGTGCCTATCATTCTTGGGAGGCCTTTCCTTCCTACGGGTAAGGCCCTTTGTGATGTTGAAACTGGAGAACTCACTTTTTGGGTTGGTGATGAACACGTGGTATTTCATATGTGCAAGTCTATGCATCAACGAAAGAGCAATAGGATGCGCTCTTTCGTGGATTTGGTGACCGATGTCATTGTTGATGATACTAGTGACACAACCAATGTTGGTGACATGTTGGAAGCTATTTTGCTCAACTTTGATGATGATGAGATAGATGGTTTCATGGAATGTATGAACTCTTTGCAAGGAATGAGGTCTTACAACTATGCACCTCGAAAGTTGTCATTGGATCTTGAGAATAGAAAGACTCCTCCTACAAAG